CTGTGTTGATCGACTTTTGTGCGTCTTGTTTCTATGTCTACTGCTCTCTTGTGAATCCGAATTCAGGTGCAATTCATCCACGCCGGCGAATCCTTTGACATGTGATTATGTAGGAAACAATATTCTTTAGACTTCATTCTGGTTTGTTCATAGGGTAGCTTACTTGGTTAGCTTACTTCGTTATTAGCCATCCATCTTTGGCTAATTTTCTTCTTCCCATTCATCTTTTTTGCACCCATAGGTTGATGCTGTCACTGAAGTGACATCTTCAAGTAGCCAAACGACAGCAACCATAACCCCTGTTATGGACAACTCAGACGGTAGGCCAGTTTCAACGGATCAAACTCACAAATCAACAGCCAACGGTAGTGAACTCAGTCCAAAATTTACCGGACTGCGTGCAGCACACTATGTTGCTTGGACAGCCGAGTTCATTCACGGCTCCCATGGCATATGGGACTGGATTACTGCCAACGGCGGATGGGTGAGAGCTCGTCTTATGATTTATTTTAGTTGTTACCACTTGTTGAAAATCGATTTAATGTTTGGTTAGCTGAGTTTCAAAATTATTAGCCATCTGCTATGACTTACTACCTGCTATTCGTCCATACTGCACAGATGTCGACTGTCGCTTTTTATTCGCTCTCGCAGGATGGTCTGATAAAGTTTGAATCAGAGCGGGGAATATACGATTCTACAGCAGGAGGTGACCGAATTCTTGTTGGCTTCACCGAGGACGACGCGATGCGATTGCTACGTCGAGCAGTGACCGGAGTGGCAACGTTGGCCGTGGGTGCTGTCGGTCTGGTGGCTGCTCTACGTTACTTCTCGAAACGCATGTAGTATCTAGACGCCCTGCAGTTGTCTTCCTTATCCTTGCGTCGACACCGCGACGCACTGAACTCCGCACTGTACCGCTTGGTATGTCTTTTGTTCCATAATTGTCCCTCACGAGGTTCCAGGTGTATCCCACTTACGGCACATAAAGTGCCATAAATGTTCGCAGAACAAATCCTTCCCTTTCCTTATAGTTCATGTACGAAATCATGGTATATCAGCCATGATGTTAGCGTTTCGTTGCCTTTCAAATGAAAAATTTTAATTTCGGATATACAAAGAAATAAGGAAAATGAAGCATGGATGCGTACACCTCCAGCTGCTCACTCAGTCAGAATAGCAACTGACAAGGTTCGCAACCGTACTTTGTAACACCTCAAGTCATGTGGTGTTCACTGTTGAGAGAGAATAGCAATATTAGGTTCAGGTGTGTGCCCGTTTCAACCTTGTAGACCATTTTCTTCGCGCTACCTAGAACTACCTAGATAGTTAACTTG